GAAATGCTCGCAAAACAGCCATATGATCTGAATAAGTTCCGTTTGCAAATTTTTTTCGAGCCGCAGCTACAGCCCTTTTTTGTGATGGTTGAGCTGGTAAAATAAATGGATTTCTAGAAGAAATTACATCATATTAGAAATAATATTACTGAATAATACATACAATATATTTTTTAACATTCTACGTACTTATATGCCAAACTGCAAACAATTGTAAGAACTGGATCGAGACATTTTAAAACTACTGCATATAGCAACATTTTTCCTAGTCTTGGTTCTATTGGTATATCTAATAAATGACTTCCTAATTCAGTAAGGTCTTCCCACGGATCCAATGCATCTATGGTCTTCAATAATTGAACAGCATTTCTAGTTACTACATTGGAAGGAGGCTCTATAGCTCTGTCTAAATACTCTGCAATTGGTGTATTTCCTGGTGCCAAATGTTTTGTGAAAAGACATAATTCTTGCAAAGGTAATCGTAAGATTTCAGGTGTTTGATGAGACGCCATATTACTAAATCGAATTGAAGAAAATAAGCGATAGCAGAAACCTTTCTTACATCTGCCAGCTCTTCCCTTTCTTTGTTTCGCACATGCCTGCGATATCCAATTAGAACGAAATGTACATACACCTAATATTGCGTCAAATGATTTTTCTTTGACTTTTCCTGAATCAATCACATAGACGATATCATCAATCGTAACGCTTGTTTCCGCTATATTTGTAGAAAGAATAATTTTTCTACTTCCCTGCGGACTAGGTTTGAACACTTTTTTTTGATCACACGTTTGCATATTCGAATGAAGTATATATAAAGTGTAACGAAGACCTTGATTCAATTTCTTTTCCTCGCTATTTATTTTTTCTCTCACATTTACTATATCATCGTATCCAGGCAAAAATATTAATATTGAACCTGGTGGCAATTTTAAATGAATATATATAACGAGATGTACAAGAAGATCATAATCGATATTTTCATCATTAAATGTATGATGATATACATTTAATAACATTTTAGCTTCTTCAGAGAGAGGAACATTTTCACCATGCTCTATTTCACAATCTTGCACAGCACAATCATATGTTTTCATATATGCTTCAATCAATTCAGCGCATTCAATTTGTTTCATATTTTTTGCCCAATCTAGCGCAGTCCATTCATTACCTGCTCGAAGATTCAGATTTGCTCCAAGATTTAAAAGCTGTTCGGTAGTATTTATACATCCTCTACCTGCAGCAACCATTAATGGTGTAACTAATGTTTTAGAATGTTGGTAATCTACAGAAACATTTTCAGAGAGTATAAAATGCAATAATTGTGCAAAGTTATCTTCCTCACCACACAACCATGCATCCGATATACTTTTATCTACTTCTTCTATTAACCATGGTTCGAGTTTAACCTTCTCTGGTATCGGTTCATTTTGTTGTGCTAATATCGGCGCAGGTAACAAGCATCTTTCATTCGATGAGCCTTTACCAGAAATTTGTGGCTTGTATTGCGTCCAAGATTCTAAGACCTTGCACTGTTCTTTTTTATTTAAAAATTCTTTTTTTCTCATAATCATTTCCTTAGTCATGTAGCCAGTCATTTTTAAAATATCTTCAAGAAAATATGTTTCTACTTCATACAATCTACCAGGAATATTAATAACAGTGCACTTATCAAAATATTTGGCAAAAATATTGGTATCTAAAGTTGCACTCATAAGAATGATTTTCAATGATCTATATTTATTCACAGCATCTTTTAATGCTATTAAAAGGAAATCACAAAATCTGTCACGTTCGTGAACTTCATCTACTATTATATGTGTAACCGTAGTTAAAGCAGAGTCTCCACCCATAAGAGTCCTAAGAAGAACTCCATTAGTACAATATGTCAATAGAGTTTTAGGCGCAACTCTACTTTCAAGTCTTATTTGATAACCAAATGTTTGTCCAATTTTTTCGTCCCTTTCAAATGCAACTCTTTCAGCAACAGATACTGCGGAAAGCCTCCTAGGTTGAGTGCATATAATTCTACAAGTTTGGTGTCTTTGTTGGCAATGCTCTAATATATATTGAGGTACTTGAGTAGTTTTACCACTTCCTGTTTCCCCAGCTATTATGATTATTTGATTAATGGCTAAAGCATTTAAAATATCTTCTCGTGCATTATAAACTGGAAGTGATTTACGAAAATTCAATACGTCAAAATTAGTCTTCAACTGTGGTACTTGTGGGATACTACTATTCAAGCGACCCATAGCTTTTGTGCTTGCAATAACTGAAAATAATAAAAACAACATTTCTAAACATCTTAATTATACGCTTATACAACTCAACAACTTTTTAATTTTATTTTTCTTACCATCTGCATTAAGAGGCCGTTCTCTTTCCATTGGAGGTAACAAATCTTGACATTCTTTATGATTCAATGGGAAATTATGCAATAAAGCATAAATACTTTGTTTTGAAGACTTTTGCAGCTTGATAATTGCATCGGCTTGAACTATAGTAGATCCTTCTCTCTTGTATACAGTTAAAAATCGATTTATGCCTTTACTGTTAATTTAAATATATTATTCTTTCTTTAAGATAATTTTTTAAAATAATGAAAACATAATCTATCATTATATATTGTATTTAAATTAAATATATATAATAATAAATAGTGTTCACATTGTAATCTTAATTAGCTAACAATCAATTAGTATTTTGTGTAAAATGTTAGCAACTGTAAACTAATAAAGGTTACAGCGCTAACACTATCTAATAATATAGTAATATATATTGTCTCACTCGTACCCTCTGCTTTTGGATTTTAAACCAAGCTCCCTAGCAAGTTCATGGACGTAAGCTCGCTCTTCTGCTGTATATGAAGATGGAAATTCTAATTCTTTTTGATCTGGTGTTCCTAATAATTTCTTCAAAGTTAAATTTACTGCTATTCTAGTGTCTTCTCCTATCAGAGGTGGCCTTTGTTGCTTGCGTCGAGGCATAATTATTACTTGAAAATTTACTAAAGAAGAAAGCAAAATTTTATACAATTATAAATTATACAATCAAGTATAATAACAAGTAGATCAATTAGATAACATTATATCGATTGTTATTAGCCATTTAAAGAAAACTCATTTATTTTCAATTGATATATATATACACACAAACACACACACATCATATGTATAATGCAACAGCATTGTATATGCATTATGCATACAAAAACAACAAAATATAACCAATTTATTGATTACAAACTTACCGTATTAAAAGCACACATATATACGTACACATATGTGGATATTATTAAAAACTACGTAACTATTTGACAATATTTATTTGAAACATTAGAAATAGCACTGCTGACAGTTGCTATCAGGAACGAGCGGTAAAAGCAATGTCCAGGAAAGTATATACTTTGGAAAAACAAAGGCTCTCATTGCTCTATATTTTTATTTTTAATTCTAACTAATCTGCACATTTATACAATATTGTAAATTTGACCAAACTTTTTAATAATATTATGCCCTTTTTATTTCAATAAATGTGATCCTAAATGAAATTATATTTACTGATTCACCGTATAACAAAAAATAAAACGAATTAATTATTATTTCCAATAGAACCTGTTTTGGAACCATTTATAAGTACGATCCTGATAACCTTTTCTTATTTCGCCATTTTGTATCGAGAGTTTTCAGTTACGAATTTTAAAAATAAATACAAATGATTTTTATAAGATCAGTTTTCATAATCATATTGTACGCATAAATATTTGTATATATCGAAATCTCATTGGACAATATTTATAATCCATTCTCAAGACCATACTTAGGACCATCTTAACAGAATTTATTAATTTATTATTTCAAAATATAAATTCGTAGTTTGTGCTGAAGATGATTTTCAAGAATAATTAGTTATCGAAGACTATCTTGTATTTCCTATAAGATCATCTTTATATAAAAGCGTTTTATAAAGTTAATTTACGTTTAAGATTGTATTTATTTACATTTCAAAAAATTTAAAAATAATAAGAATGTATTATTACAGACAGCCGGTAAAACAGTGATTTACTATACTCACTAGTCAATAAAATTTGTGCTAATAAATTATTGAAATTTTTATTTAATAATATTATTAAATATTATCATTAATATTTGATGGATTCTCTTTTTTTATCTTAACTTAATCTATTCATTTTTTATGTAAAGTTTATAATGCTTGAAGAGCATTAAATTTATAAAAAATTAATGGTGTTCATTTTGTTTATAAAAATATCTTTTCATATTTACTTAATTTATCTCTGTTATGTTTCGATTCAACTTATGATATGTGAAATAAGAAAATCGATATATTCATACCAAGGTAATATATGACATAAATAATATCCGAATACCTTTACGACATATGTACATATTTTATATTTAACCAACTTTGGATCGACATATGGACATTGTCCATATTTTAAAATGACTCATGAACTAACACGCGAGTGTTTACATAAAAATCTTAACAGATAATAGAATTAATGAGTTGACATTCAAGAAAAACGTTAAAAATTTATTTTACGATATTAAATATTAAATGTCTAGAGAAATTTCTAATGTATTATTATCAATTTAACGAAAACTCGAATTTGATCATAACACAAATAAAAAATTAAAAGATAATATCTTTCCATTCCCCCCCTCCCGTAATCTTAAAATTATTTATCATCATTTTTTGTAAGTACAAAGGTTAACAATGTTTAGTCTATTATCGTGATATAGTCATAAGCGAAATTTAAAAATGCGTGCTAGACTTTAGGTTTTAAATACATCACATAATTATTAAGCAAATTCTTTTTAGTAAATTCGACCTTGATAATTCATTAAAAAAAATTAGCATAGATTATAAAGGTCGGATTTAGTAATAAATCATTAATATATTCTTTTAAATTATATAAAATCATTCATATCTATGTTTTATTGCGGATATACCTTGACGATCAGAAAATGAACGTCTACGATTCTGCGCGTACTCATTCGTGACACTGTACCTCTCAGTGTATGTTCCTTCTCTGTCATAAAGTGTTCATTCTGCTTTTCTACGTTCAATAAATTTAGAATAAAATTATTAAATAAATAAAGAGAGATAAAAAAAAATGTCTTTAGACGAGGTATATAATTGGTATTTAATAATAATTATTTATATAAAACAATCAAATCACTTATTGTTATATTGTTAATGTTCTATAGCATCTCCCGGTTATGTGTTGTTATCAATTTTATAATAAGTATGTGTGTGTGAGTGTTTAAGTTGACACACATTTATCTTGCGGACGTGTTTATGATTCATTTTTATACCAAATTAATTGAACTATCTCGATTAATCTAATCGGATAATACATATTTTATTTTATTGAATGGTTTAACTTTGTTCTGAATAAATATGTGAAACATTTATCTTTATTATTTATTTGAATTAATTTGTCAATTTATTAAAACTTTTTTAATGATATTAAACCAAAAATAGTAGAAAAAGAAAAAGAGTATCATATGTTTTTACTTAAATAAAGAATGTAATATTTAGAAAAGAAATAAAAATCGTTCGACCATTGATATTTCTACTTGTGTATTTTATTGTATAACTAATATCTAAGATATTAAATTATTTTTACAGAAATTTACCAAAGCAAGCGAGGATGTGAAAAAACTTTCTTACAAGCCTTCGAATGCTTGTTTACTCGAATTGTATTCATTGTATAAACAAGCAACAGTCGGTGACTGTGATACAGGTAAAAATAAAGTTTCATTTTTATTTGAATTTTAATCAGAAAGAAATTCTTCTTTTTCTATACAAATGATAATTAAATTTTATCCTTTTTCTTTCAGGTAAACCAAACATTTTGGAATTTGAAAAAAAGGCTAAATGGGAAGCATGGAACAAAATAAAAGGTATGAGTCAAGATGAAGCAAAAGAAAAATACATTACTAAAGCCAATGAATTAATGAAACTCGATGAAAAGAATGATTCATAAATTGAAAATGAATTGATTGAATCGTCCATTAATAAATATAAGCAATTGCTTGAATTTTAATTTTGGTAAATATATAATTTTGGGAATAAAGATATATGTTACGCCTAAGCTATATATACATTTTTTTTGTTAATATATATTTCTAAATGTTTATATATATATATAATTTTTTGTTTTCATAATCTAACAAAAAAAGAATTTAGGCAAGTTTTGTGTTAAAATAATTATCTAAACTTTTGCACAATTTCGTATGTATCCTATTTATGTGAGAAACACGACACTAACAATAAGTTATACTATGTGCATGATGTGCAAGAGCATATTTTATATCTCACGTTATAAAAGCATTAACAAATTTACCTTGTTTATAAGAAGAATATACATATTCTTTGTATATATTTAAATAAAAAAATAAAAAATAAAAATCCACGATCTAGAATTTCTTTACCAAATGGAAAATGGCAATCTCCCATTAAGTAAAACCTTTTTCAAGGACATGTCACTGGGAATACTCGATTTTTCTTGTAGAGTTGGTGTAACTACTACCTTTACGTCATTATATTCCTTTAAAAAACCAAGATAAATTAAGTTAAAAAATTCCATATACATATATTATATCCCTAATGTATAGGAGAAATAAATAAAGCGCATAAAAACTAAAAAACTACCTTCATATGCAAGAGAATTTTAAAATTCACCTGAAGAAACATAAGTTTTAATTTCATTCGTATTCAATTCTTTACGTATCGATTAGGAAATAGATGAGACGTAATTTATACATATACGTAATTAATAATGTATTTGTTCGCGTTAACATGTTTTATCGGTATCATTATATACAAATTCGCGCATAACTAAGTACTTAAAGAAAAACATACACAAGAAGGAGATGATATACAATATAAAGAAGAAGGCTAGTGTAGTTTTTGGGATGAAGGATCTTATTTTTAGGAAACTATATACGCGCGCATTTTAATATAACTTATTTAATTAACGCTCCCTAAAGTTTTGTATTTAAATGACTATGACGAAATATATATATATATATAAGAGAGAAAAAAGAAGAAATAATGAATTATTTTGGTGAGTTATTGAGACAATACAATTTTATTTAAGGCAATGATAAAGCAATGGATCTTCTTATTGGAATATATCTATATGCGTACTTGAGCCGATTCAATGTTTAAAACTTAAAATTACAAATTTAATAATGCTGACACATTTAGCGATTTTTCTTCGTAATAAGAGCTTAAAATTTAATCATAATTATCATCAGTTCTGAAATTTAACAACGTATCTTAACACACGCGAGAGAATGATGCATAATTGTATGTATGTATGTATGTAAATATTTGACAATCAAAATAAAATTTTCAAATAAAACTTATGCAGTTATACAGTAAATCTTTGACATTCATGAAAAGAAATGATGCATTTTGTTTATCGTAATTTTTAAACATCAATTTTAAATAATGATATTAAACAGTCGACGAAGCGACTGAAAGAAAAGAAAATAATATATATATATATATATATATTATAATCGACGCTATATGCTACCTGCAGATGTTATTATATATCACCGCTTTTCATACAATCAGAAAATTTAAATATTATTTTACTATAGTAGTACTCGACATTAATTTTATTATTTATTTTCCAATCGCATAGACATGTAAATCTATAACGATTGTTTTTCTTTTCTGTTTTTTCACCGAACATCACTCTCACAAGATACGATTATTAATTAAATCAGATATACATCTGTTATATTTTTACGTGGAACTTTCCTTCGTTAAGCGACAGCAAACATGATGTCGTAGTAAATAATAATATAATAATAATAATAATAATATTAATAATAATAATAATAATAATAATAATAATAATAATAATAATAATAATAATAATAATAATAATAATAATAATAATAATAATAATAATAATAATAATAATAATAGAAAAATTTACATCAAGTCCATCGTACCGCAACCTAATCAATCGATTGTTATTAATTATTTAGGAAAGGAACGTGAAGAAGCGCCGAGAAAAATAGTGTTGCGCGTCTCTTTACTTTCTCTTACTTTTATCCACCTTCTTGACATGAGGGTGATGATGGGTTTTGTTTCTGGTACCCTTCGGATAATCACCGTGATGCGCTTTTACAGTCTGGCTAATCACCGTAACATCATCACCTCCTTCAGCGACCTGACGACTTGTCGATACTTGGTCGAACCTGATAAAATAAAAACGTGACAAGAGCGGGAAAGTAATGTAACCACGATCATCATCAATCGTCATCATCATCTCCTAACGTTTTGCTTAATTTTAATTAATAACACTTTCTTAAATTTTTATTTATTATATATATATATATTTTATCTAATATATCGCCACGATACGATCGCTCGAGAGCTAGAAATCCTGTCATTACCATACACGTCTCTTATCTTAGTTTATATTTTACGGACATTCCGTTATAAATAATACATTAAAAATGCGTTTGGGCGCGCACACACGCATACACGAAAGTAAAGAAATAGATGAAAGGAAATATAGCAAGAAATAAATAAATTGCGAGCGAGTAGCCAAAAATTATTTAGTAGTCTCAAAGAAGCCAAAATAGTTGGTAAACGATTTACGAATATATATATAAGGTAAGAAATAGATGAAAGCGAAGAAAATAGACAGAAGAAGAAGTAGAAGTAGAAGTAGAAGAGAGTAGGAGAAAAGGCAGATGAAAGAATAGTAAAGATAGTCTCGACGTTGATCTTGACATAGAGAAGAAAACGCGACTTCTGGATATATTGGTGGTAGGTAGCTGGATGCCGTTGGATTAGCAGTACTTCGAAGTAGAGATATTTGAAACGTGACGACGACAGGATATATTTTCTCGATTGCCGATGAAAGATCGAAATTCGAATTGAAAGTTTAATTTAACTGTACGTTATTGACTGTGGTACTCCGTTCACCGTCTTTGATTTTAGGACGTCGTTCTCGTATGACATTATGGTTTCCTTCCCATCTTCGTATATCCTGATGACAAAAAAAAAATCAAATAATTAGATTACTGGATGGATTTAAATCATTTTACTTATTTAAATCAATAGTTCCCAAATTATGTAATAACGTTTCAATCTGCTCCTCTTTCTCTTCAAAGATGATCCAGGGGATATTTTAGAGAATTGAAGAAGGTAACATCTAGTAATCTTTTTGTTTAAAAATTTATAGGTCTAATAATGAGTTTGGGAACCTTTGATTTAGATGACGTTAAAAATGATAAAAGATTAATTGTGTCTTCTACTTTCTCTTCCAATTTGTTTCACTATATCAGAATCATCAAAAATATATTTATGTATGTATTTATTTCGATCATTACTTTTTGGTGGTGATCTTTTTTCCATTGATGAAACGTGTCGAAGTACTGGTCCTTTTAACTGCTGCCCCATGGCTGGTGGTTACGTCGAAAGAAGGAAATGAATTGAATTCGGTAAACTCCATACCACTCAGTGGGTTATAGAACGGTGAATGAATACCTAGACGTCCAAACAAGGATGTGCTTAAACTGTTGTTAGTACCAATACTACCTTGACCTCGTCGAGTAGCAGATCCGAATAAGCCTACATAATCGAAAATAAATTTTATTATATACTTAATTACGTGCTATATACTAAATTATATGATAAACTTATTTTTCATTTTATTCAAAATTGGAAATGCCGTGTACTAAATATAAGATTTTTTCTTGACATCACGATAATTAATAAATTCACAGAATAATGCTACAAAATTCAATGTATGGACCTAGAACACGCTACTATTAATTCCGTCCATAACTAACTGGCTTATATGACAAACTTTTACCTAAATTATTAAAAAAAATATACACGGTAAATCAAAAGTTTTGACGTGATATTTAGAATCACCTTATAATAATATAAAACTACGATTCTAGAACTTCTTTACATTATATATATATATAGAGAGAGAGAAAGAATAAATAGAAAGAAACATATATATAATCCTATTATACTATGCCCTAAATTATGTTTTTTATTGTCATTATGTATATATAAAAAAAAAAATGTTTGACTAATCTTTATAAATCTTATTAAAGATTTCAGACCCATGAATGAACGAGTAAAATAATTGTTGTTTTTTTAATTACTATCAAAGGGATCGTCGAAGGACGAGGCGGCAAAGAATTCTCTGAAGACCTCCTCCGGATCTCTAAACACGTAGGTGGTAAAGAATGGCCTGAAGTCACTTTCATGACGTCTCTTGCCACCGTTCATCTGTAGACCCTCCTTGCCATACTGATCGTAAACACGCCTTTTCTTTTCTGTAAAAATCGTACAAAAAGAAAATATCATATTAATCATTTCTCAATTTGATATTAAAAAATAAAATTAAAAATAGCTTTTCATATAACAAGTTTTATTCGTTCCAAAATCCAAGAAGAAGCAGCAAGGGAATTTCTGCGAATTTCAACGTGTGTGTGTGTATGTGTTAGTCAAATATTTACTGGGTTTGGTTTATGTTGTTGTTGTAATTGTTGCTTTGTTTTTTTAATAAACAAGGAAATTGGCATGGAAAAATCATTATCAGAGAGAAAAGAACTAATCGAAGTTATATATGTTCCTTTTCGAAGAAAGAAAGAAATGAATAGAATATAATTTTTATGTGTATAATATATAGGAGAACAAAATAACGAGTACTATAGTCAAAATGTTAGTTCTTTTCTCTTTTTGTTTTTAAATCATTGAGGAGGACACGGAGACTGCTTGTTAAGAAAGAAAGAAAGAACTCTGCCAACAAGGTGCACTCATTGTTAACTAATTTGCGCATATCAAGATGATGAGTTACGCTTCTTGAAAAAGAAAATAAGCGAGCGAATCCGGGACACTCTCTCCTTTCTCACCATAATGAAAAATAAGAATAATTTGTATTTCCGTCTCTTTTCTATACCTCGCGTTAATTTGCTATTATATGAATTTAAAAATATATATAGAGGGGGAAGAAAAAAGTGCACATAAAAATGAAAGATAAAACGATTACAAAACAAAACAATAAAATAAAAAAAAAAAAAGAAAGAAAAATACACTTATCAAAATAATATAAAATTCATACGACAAAAATCAATGATTCCTTTTTAGTTCCTTTTAAATATCCTTAAAAACACTCGCAAATGAACGCACACGGAATAGAAAATTTGATCTTAACAGAAGGTTGTTTGTTCTTTAGGATTCACAATAGAAACTCTCGTGCATAAAGGATAAAATATGACAAACTACGAGTAACAAATAAGGGAAGGATCATCTATTTTTTTCCTCTCTTCAACGATATTAAATATGATCAATGAAACTACAATTTTTCTACTTGCTATTCTTAATACGATTATGTTCAATCCTATGTTTTATCCATTATTAATTTTGACTTCTCCAGCTTTTGAAAATGTTAAACTTCCTGGTCTTCCCCCCCCTTCCCCACCCTTATTGATTATTTGCAGCAATTAAAAATAGAATATAAATTCAAATGAAGGAAATTTTCAATGATGGTAGAGGCTAATCTTGTAAAGCCTTTTTTCTTTTGACAATTATTTCTGTTTTCTAATTTTTCTTTTTCATTTTCTTTTTTTTGTTTTTTTTTTTAAATGGTACCAAAGTGTCGCTGGAAGGGAGAGTCAAAGAAACTCCGGAAGGTGAATCCACGGCCTGGCCTTGAGGACGCCTTCTGATACAATCGCTGGTCGTAGGTTCGTCTCTTCGCATCTGAACACCCAGACCAAAGTGCCATGAGATTGTGTCCGGAAACAAAGATTTTTCGTTGAGCTTCCTCCTTCTAAATTTTGCTTTCCGAGTGTGAATTATTTTTCTTTTTTTTTCTTTTCTTTTTTTTTTTTGGATTGTTGTTGGCCATTTCTTTTCCTTACCGTAAATATTTTATAATCGCTCAACACGTACGAAAAACGAAAAGAACAAAATGAAACATAAAATAAATCAATTAAATTAAATTGAAAAAAGACAATTAACATAATTGCAGAAAATCATTAGATCTCTTGAGACGAAAGGAAAATTTTACGAGCAACCAGATAACGTTGTGAAATAATTTTGTTCTTTTCTCCCCTAATCTCTCTCTTACAATTTCGTTTCACGTATATATAACAACTATATATATATATATATACAATAATTAAATAATAATAAGTATGCTAGGGCTATTTTTGAAAAATTAGCAGCTTTTCTTTTTTACGTATAAATTTCATTTTTAATGTATAAAAAAACAAGAAATAATGAAACGGCGGCTGCAATTTTTTTCAAATAGTCCCCTTGCATAAAAGCGTTTAACGCGTGGAAAAAAAATAAATAAAAGAGCTAAAAGCGTGCGTGTTTTTTGAGATAGAGATAAAGATAAAGACAAAGAAAAAAAATATAAATTGTGAATTAGTTGTTTATCACGTCCAAAAATAAAATTATTAATAAATGTGTCGCAGAAAAGTTGGACAGGGTAAGATTAGATAAATTCAACAAATAGGATAAGGATAAGATCTTACCCTGTTCAACTTCCCTGCGACACATTTATTAATATAAATTGTTTTCTTTTTTTTTTTTTTTCTAATTAAGAAGAAATTATTTCATGTATTTTGTGGGATTTGCTTTTGGAAGAAAAGCTTTCATGCGAAGCACGTTTCTACGCCTATGAAAGAAATTTATTCTCGTTTTTCTTTCTTCCTTTTTTTTTATCTTTTTTATTCAATTTTCTTCTCCTTTCTTCCTTCAAAATATTCGGATTATCGATTGAAAAATAATTTAATCCTTTTTTGTTTCACCCCCTCTCCCAACCCATAAATAATATTTTTCCCAACCCCTCATTTTTGTTTTATTTTAAAATTTATAAATTTATCGATCCCTCTCGTGGATTAGATATTTGTTTTTTTTTTGTTTTTGTTTCTTTTAATATTTTTTCCTTTTACTTTTGGCCATAAGCTAGAAAAATAAATCCTTACCGTCTATCAATACTTCATAAGCTTCGGATATTTCCTTGAACTTCTTGTTTGCTTCGTCTAAATTTTCGGGATTTTTGTCTGGGTGCCATTTCAACGCTAATTTTCTGTATCTGTAAATATCAAAACGAAATCAATAATTATCTTACAAAATCATGGTTAAAACTGAAATTAAAGAACAAACAAATATATATATTTAAAATTGAAATATACGGAAACACAATCGATCTCAATAAATATAGGAGAATAAATTATTAAATACTATAAGAAGTTAACAAAATTTAATATTTTACAAGGATATTTTATTCAAACTGGTTTACCCAGAAGAAGAAGATATATTTTATTATGATCGTCATGCTTTACTTTCAAGCATCGAATATACAAGACCCGACCAACTGTTCTTTCGAAGTTCGAACTTGGATGATGGCCAAAATACGGTTGCTCTACTTGTTCTTATTGCAGGAGCTTTTCATTCAATTTTTCACCGGTTTACCCATTGAGAAAATGTATTATTCATGTGAAATATATTTAAATGTTTTTACCATTAAACAAAACCAAAAAGAAAAATATTCAAATAATGATAACCAGCATTTTTTCGCTAAAATCTTACAACACCTTTTAATCTTCTCTTGAATTATATTCTTTTTTATTTAAAAATAATCGAAAAAAGGATTATGTTATTGTTGTTAATTTAATTGAACTTACGCTTTTTTGATGTCATTGCTGGTAGCAGTTCGTTGTACTTCGAGAATCCTGTAGTAGTCGACCATCGTAATATGTATTTTATGCTCAGATATCAGAGCTTAGGCAACCACCTGTCGAACAATGCAATCCATAGTTAGTTATACTAATTAAGCAAGACCATTTGACCGGCCAGCTGGCAAGTAACTTATGTTAACAAAAAAAAAAAGAAATGGGACGTCTATAAGACAAGATAATTCGAAAACCATGGTCTACCCTAATTTCAATTTCAAATCTATCTTTATCCTTCTCCCTCTTTAACGATAATCATTTTCAAAGATCCTTCATATGTACATGTGAATATTATGAATTTGTTTGTATCGACAAAGATCATTCGGAATAATTACTTTTATTTTTCTTTTCTTCTTTTTTTTTTCTTCAACGGTATAGATAATAAAAAATAAAATAAAAAGGAAAAAAGTAATAGAAAAAAAAGGGAAGCAAAATAGAATAATAATAACAATAATAATAATAATAATAATAATAAAAGTAACGCGTAAGCGTAAACGTTTGTTGAATTGAATCCTTTTATACTCACTCGCTCGATAAACTTATGTCAGAAACTTGGCACTATTTTTAAGCGAGGATAGGCACAATGTTGCATAGCAATCACCTTTAAATAGCAATAACACATATCTCACGCTTTCCGGCCATTTATATTATCGAAATGCATATTTTTATCGATCACACGGTGTATAAACTGAATTCTCCTATTAATAATACTTAGCGAGAAAAAGTAATGAAAATATAGAAAAGAAAATAATCATAATCGAATAATTATTCTAATTTTATATGCAAACAAATTATTTTCACCTATCTTCTAATCGGAAAATTTGTTAAAATAGAACGGGAAAAAAAAATACACATCTGAAAAATTAAAAACGACGAATTAAAAATTATTGGCGACGATAGATCGAAATTAAACGTCAGAAATTGCGATGAAATTGGGAAGAGGGGGGAAAAAATAAAAAATAAAAATAAGGAAATCGCAATAAGGAACGTGCTACACGTCGAGTAGCGTGAGAGCGAATTCTCGGGAGAAAACTGAGCTCAAAGTCAAAGACTGGACCGACGAAAACTCTAAAGTTAGCCGAACCGAGTATCGAAAATAGTATGAAAAGCGTAGGTGGAGGTCATTACGATATTCCATTCCTCTCCTTTCTCCTCCCTCTCCTTTTTTCACTTTTATCTTTATAAAATTTTCATATTATCTTATTATATCCTATTTTGTTAGATCTCAAATATTTCTCATTATATTTATAATGGAGAAAAACGCGCTATTACATTTTTTTTTGTCTAATAATTAATTATTTTTGAAGAAAACAAAAAAATAAAATAAATTAAAATAGTCGTGGAAAGTTATCTTATTTCTTTAAAATATAATCTATCTTTCAAATAATTAATAAATTATTTAACATTTTTCAACAAAATTGTATTACGAATTTAATATAATAATTAATGTTAATGTATATACGTCTCTTAAATAAAAAGATAATATGAAATGTTATTTTTAGTTACTTCGTAATGTTTTCAATGATCAGTACACTATGCATTGACTATAGATACACATGTACGATCCCACTCGCATTCGTGCTTTACATAAATCAATTAATCATATTCATTTTCTCTATAATATATATATATATAATATTTAAGTAAAGTATATTACATATTTAATCCTTTCAACAAAATAACTTCATATCATTTCGATCTATTTCAAAATCTTAATTTCACCGATGCACCACCTTTCGACAAGATCAAAATGCAATTAAATTAAAGCAAAAGATTTAAGATAACAGAGGGAAACGAATTTATTAAGTTCGGGCAAAATTCCAAGGATGGTAAAATTTAACATGCTCGTCATCGACCTAGACACTTAACATTTCTAATCCTAATCCATTTTCAAATCAAATTTTGATACTTTCGGATCTCGTAATTTCATCGAGACGCCGAAATGCAAGCGCCAAAATCAATAATAAAAATCGTTTACATCGAACGAGAGGATAAATTGAATATAAAAATAAAAAAAGTAAAAAAAAAAAGATTGAAAAATAAGAAAATAAATAAGATAAAAAAAAAGAAATAATAACGTTTAGATGTCTCGTAACGAGTTATCGCCGAATGGAGTTCTTAAAGTGGGACAAGTAGAAGATACCTTCATCATCACCTTATCACGACCTTGCTTTTCTCTTTCTCTTTCTCTTTCTCTCTCTCTCTTTCTTCGTTTATAGTTGATAGGTACAAGTTACGTTATAAGCTCTTTCCGTGATGATTAGATCTCAAAGATGGTGTTAGTTCGCAAATAAAAGATAGAAACAGCCATCACCCTACTCCTCAATCTACTTATTTATCTATCTATCTATCTATCTATCTATTTAACTATTTATCTATCTATCTTTCTTTTCGCCCTAGCTTACGTGCACAATTTTTGTTGGCAACTACTACTACTAGTTACTACTATACGATAGATTTCGCAAACTACTGGCTTGAGTCAGAGCTGAACGAAGTTTAGTCACGACACGTTAATATCTCTTGTTTTTTCACGCTTAATAGGAAAGATGGATAGATAAATAATACGAAAAAGAAAAAGAAAACAGAAAGAGAGAGAGAGAAAGAGGGAGAGAGAGAGAGAGAGAGAGAGAGAGAAAGAGATAAGAAGAAAGAACAATTAAAATTAATGTTAATTGCTAATTTTTATATATATTCGCATAAATGTTTATATTCGCGAGAAATGAGATAAAAATATAAGAAGTAAGAGATAAAGCGAAAAACAGACAAGCATATAAGCATATATACTTCTTTTTTCATATTTTTCCTCGAAATAAGAGCGGTTTTGATTAATTTAAACCATTAAAAATGGACGCCAAGACTTTTCTACAATAACATTATTATAAATTACTATACCTATATAAATATATTATTATTGTTATATTACTTTTGATAGTAAAGCTATTTATCAGAATTTACTTACACATTTAAAACTAAACTCATGGCCACAAGTTGAAATATATTTCAATATCAATGTATTATCTTTTCTCATGACCGACGAAGAAATAAAACTCGTGCCAATATAAAGAAGAAGATAATTCGAAATTTTAGAAAAAAAAAAAGAAAAAAAAAAGGTTAGACAAATTTATATGATAAATAAATTGAATTTGAAGTAACAAGAATAAAATGAAATATTGTAGATATTGTTTTCTACGAGATATCAATTTTCTGGCTGTATATGCGTGTCAGAAGAAGGAACAAGGTGATTCATATTTTTCATGTTTAAACGAAATACGAAAGGTGTACTTACGTAGCAAACGCGTTTATCTCCTACGCAATGCATGTTAATCATTTGAAACTAAAGAACGAGTGGGCACTTTTCGAGGTCTCCATTTTGACTTTCGATCGTATGTCGAGAAAATTGTTCTTAACGATCGATTTCAAACAATTTATTACATATTAAAATATGTAAATTAGAATATCGAAATTAGAAAATGTGTTATTAAACAAAAGTATTAATCTTTCATTTTCCTTCTACACTATTCTTATTTGAATTTAATTTGAAATATTAAATATAGCAATTAATTCGATGCCATGATGTTAAATTCATTGCATCAAAATCATCATCTTTATTACGACAAGGAAGTTCAGGCAGTTGATTGAAATAAGATTGATCACAAAGTTATCAAAAATAATAGATGTATAATTAATCTATAAATAAATAAATACTAAATTTGTTTAAAAGGTAACAAATTAATTGCAAACGTCTAATAATTCAGATTTAAACTCAATATTTTATCTCCAAAAAATCTATAAATTTTAACTTAGATTTTTTAAATAATTTAGTTTCAATTAAAGTATTTGTATTTTCCATAACAATGGGGAATAAAGAAAATAATATTAAATCGAAATATGAAAAAATCTTCTTTTTAAAAGATATTAAAAAGAAAAAAACAAATACATAAATAAACAATTTTTGTTAAGGATGCAAAAAAGAAGCGAGAAACGACACCATCATCATCAACATCATCAACATCATCATCATCATCATCATCATCATGATTGTCACAACGTGGTCGTTGTGTCAAGGTGGGCGTCCTTATGTGACTCTCATGAGGGTGGTGACGTCAGATTTACATATATGGCCACAGGACGACGTATTCAAAGAAAAAGGATTTTAACAGAGAGAAAGAATTGTTCCTCTTATAGTAAAAATAGTAAGTTTGAAGAACCACGAAAGATTAGATAAACAAATTTTAAATACAATCTTGAGGAAAAAGAAATAGACACAGGATTAAAGATAACACGTTGTGTAGTAATTTTCGTTTCATTTTCCTTGGATATGTCCACCTGGATCTTGTTTTCTTTTTTTTTTTTTTTTTGTTAAATATGAGTCAGAAACACAACGATGATATATTCTTATTTCTTTGTCTATTTTTTTGATCCCTATGTACACGAATAAATTATTTATACATATTAAAATTAAAGTAAAACAATTAAATATGTTCTAAAAGATTTCCCTTATTTTCTTAACATCATCATTAACATCATTATAAACATTAAATAAAAACTTATAAATTCTCAAAGATCATGTTACACGCGTGTTCCCTCTCTACCTTTCTTTAATTTCTTTTTAATTAAGATACGTCACTAAGATAAAATTTAATCGTCAAAGTTTAATCTCCTGAACGATAAACTAAACTCAACAAATTTATCAACTAACACAATTTATATATACAACTAGTTAAATCCACAATACTAGGCGACAACAGTAAGAAATCGACAATGCAAACAAGCCGCAAGGATGAACGCAAATTTTATCAACTGTTCCTTCCATAACCATCCTCGATTGCGGCACTGTTAAATACATAAATATGTATATGCATAATGCATAATATAACGAGCTTACGCATGTCAACGGACGAAACATATGTATGTAAGTATATATATATATATATATATATGTATATGTATTTGCATTACTTACATACAAACCGTTGGAAATGATGTTTGCAAGACAATTGTTATGAAAAAAAATATGTTAACCGAATAATGAATTTTTAACGATTTGCATTGACCTTTTTAT